GGTGCATGGGGTTACCAACCTTTTTGCGCCACGATATTGCTAGCAAAAAAATCGGGCCTTGCAACTTGGGATCTGGGATTTAAGGCATGAAGAGTTTTAGAACGAACCTCAGGGTCGACTATTCGGAAAGGTTGAAAGCGGTATGGTGGGATAAAACTACACTGCATAAAAAAATTAATATAACATGGTACAGTCCGATGAATGCTCGGCTCTAAGAAAATTCAGGCATGGTCCTCCGGGCTGTAACGAAATAGTAATTCCTTACTGAGGCTTGCGACAAGGTGTACGACTCGAACAGATCCGAACCAGCGGTAGGCTTCCCTTCAGTTCGAGCCTCCTGGGCCTTACCGGACTTCGCTTCGACACATCGAGGCCCTTCGACGCTTTCCCCAAACCTTCCTCATCCTACGTCTAGGATTAGCCTAGGTTTCCTATAATATATTGTATTTCCTCTTATTTTATTGTCATTCACTCGTTCACAGTTCCATTTACCGTATAACACAGAAGAGTAGCGCGTGTTAGAATCACTAGAACAAGGTAGTACAGGGGAGGATATATGGTTGAAGTTGTACCTTCTATGAACACAAACCTATATAGCCTATAACTTCTACATATATACATATGTATAAGTTGACACACCCCCTAGGCTAGATAAGGGGCAGTGCTGAGCAAGAAACACGCAACTCAGAGTGGCACTACTAGTCTAACCTCTGAGGTAGGGGTCCGAAGACCAGTTAGCAAGAGCACAAACTCGACAAGAGAAAACCAGGGAGGCACAACTAGTCCGGCCACTGGAAGAGAAACTACAACGCCATTCAAGAAGGTATATATAAAGAGGAGTACACAATCTAGGTCCTAGCAAGTGAGGAGGTAGAGGAACTAGACCAAGCTGCAAATAGTGCCGCTGATGATTTTAAGGCGCAAGCGCCATAGAAAAGATATCAGCAATGTTGGCAACGGAGGCCAAGTGTACTACGCGGGCTTGGCGGCGCTGCTGTAGCTCATGCATGAGGAAGTACCGCAGCTGCATGTGCTTCGCTCTGCCCTCGAGTCGAGGCTCTTGACACAGTAGAATCATGGCCCTCTTGTCAGCGTACAAGACCGGGGCAGAGCTGGGCCGCTCACCTAAGTCGGTGAGCAATATGGTCAGCTAGCGGAGCTCCTGTGCCTCCATGGCACCAGCGTAGATCTCAGCCTCATAGCTAGACTGTGCAATAGAGGACGAGCTCGTGGATCTCCACGGGATGACACTTGAATCAAGGCTAAATAAGTAGCCCGGGGAGGACTTGCGTGTCTCAGCGTCGTCTGCCCAAGAAGCGTCTGTGTGCCCAGTAAGGACCACTGGCCTGCGTCCTCCCAGCACAAGTCCCATGCAGGGCTTATGTTACCAGGGCATTTGCACTGACTTGACTGAAATTCTAAGGAAGTTTTAGGACCAATCCTGATTTTCTCCGGGCTGTTTTTTACCCAGCCCTGACAAAATCCGGGAAGATCGTCAGGCGACCCTGGAAACTCCGAGAAGATTTTCAGGTGACCCTGATTTTTCCACTACTTGCACCCTCCCTCCCCCGGCGCCCCTCCCTCCCCTCACCCCTTATCTTGCACGCTCCGAACACCCGTCACTCTTCTAGGACCTGCCTACCAGGCAACTTGTTGGGAAGGAGTACTCCCCTCATACCCCTAGAACTAACACAAATCCAATGTGACGCAGAGCTTGGAACAACCTCAAGTAAAATCCGTGGAAATGTGCGCTCGCCGAGCATTTTTTCGGCTGGCCCTGAAAAAACAGAGTAGTATAGCTTCGGCCCCTGGGTTTTCAGGGTGAAATTTGAAGGGAGCTCTGAGCGTTAGAGCTGTTCAAAAATCAAACATAAGCCCTGGTCCCATGCCTGATGTGCTCGCTAGATAACGCAAAACCCTCTTAGTTGACGACCAGTGCTGTGGTCAGTGTCTCCTGGTGGCCACAAAGCATGCCAGGATGCTGAAACGGTATGGAAGATCTGGGCGAGTGCAAGTCATCAGGTACATGAGGCAACCCACCAGCTCTGCGTAAGGACCACTAGGCTCTACTGACTCCTCAGGAATTGGAGTTGAGAGCCTATGGTCTACTAGCAGAATTGTGGGCTCTGCAGAGGAGAGATGAAGACCGAACCTCTGAAGGACCTGGCGCACCAAGTGTGACTGTATGAGAGTGATGTTGCACGCTGCTCTGTCCTTGGAGATCTGTAGGTCAAGGAAGCGGTGCAGCTCTCCTAGGTCAGTGCGGGTGTATCTCTTCAGCAGCTCAGCCTTCACGGAGGCTAGCGCGTCTCTGTCTGTAGTAGCGAAGACCATGTCGTCTACGTAGACAAGGATGTAGAACGGGGCCTGGCCGGCACGAACAAAGAGCGAGGGGTCTACAGACGACGGGAACTGCAGGTCAGCTAGCGTAGCACGCAGCGTGTCGTATGATTAACGAGGCGCCTGTTGCAGGCCGTGGACCGGGCGTCAGAGGAGCCACTGCGTCCCAGGAGGGAAGGTAACTGTAAATCCATGTGGACGGTGCACGTAGACCTGCTCGTGTAGGCTGCCCTGAAGGAACGCTGTGGAGAAGTCGAGGGAGTGTAGCTCGTAGTAACACTGTGCTGCTACGTGTAGCAGCGCCCGAATTGTAGTCATCTTCACGGTCGGGGCAAAGCTCTGAAAGAAGTCCACACCCTCAGGCTGACTGAAGCCTCTAGCCACGTAGCGCACCTTGAACTCTGGCAACTCTCCAGAGGGCTCTTCACCATAAAGAGCCACCGGCCATCGAATACGTTCACCCCAGGTGGGGGAACTGCGTCGACGTAGGTGCCGGTGGATCTCGAAGATGCCATCTCCTACTCCATGGCAACTATCCATTGAGAGGCCCAGGGTCCCGAGGTCGCCTCAGCATAAGTGCGAGGGGTCGGGATGTCAAGGGCGTCTGGGTCACTCTCAGGGACTAGCAGCATGGAACAGAGATAGGGAGCACCTTCAGACAGGAAAGCAAGTTCGTACTATCTGTCCTCTAGGACGTCACGGCCAAGGGCACAAGCACCCCCGACAGACGGAGGGAAGGCAGAGCCAGAGTCCAGCACTGTGGCATAGTCAAGGGGGCGGGTAGAGGCGAAGATAGCGACAGCAGCAAAAAGAGCGTCAAGACTCGAGACACGAACAGACGGGTTGGTAACGAGGGAGGCAAGGACCCGAGGAACAAGAGGACAAGTGGCGCAAATGTAGTCAAACAGAAGAGGCGGAGCGACAACGAGCGACGATGGAGGAGGCGAGGGGAGGAGGGGAGGACGAGACGCCTGGGAACGGAGCAACATGGGGTGAGAGCGCTGGACAGGAGAGACAGGACGAGGACGAGAGGGACGGCGAGACCAGAAGTGGGATAGAGGCGTCGGGTCAGGAGACAAAGGAGGAGTCACAGGAGGAGAACGAGAGGGGAAACAAGCCGGGGACGAGTCCGGCACAGGAAACACAGGGCCATAGACATGCAGAGGAGGCGGCGGCCGGAAAGGCGCAGGCGGGTGGTCAGGGGAGGGAAGGCCGAGCAGGCGAAGGGCGGACACCGGCGGCGACTGCTGCTGCTGCTGCTGCTGCTGCTGCTGCTGCTGCTCCATGCCGACACCAGGACCGCCAGCTGCACCACGGCTACCTCCGGAACACTCCACGCCAGCACCCCCTGAACGAGAACCCTCTCCAGCACCGGTGCCAACCCCAAGACCAGCAAGAAAAGCCACGACAAGAACCCCAGGACTAGCACCCCAAGAACAAGAACCCTCTCCAGCACCAGTGCCACCCCCAGGACCACCGGGACGAGCCACGATAGGAACCCCAGGACTAGCACCCTCCTCAACGCCCGTACCCCCAGAGTCCACGGACGACTTCTGCTACTGCGGTGGCTGCTACGACGGCGGATGAGGAGACACCGGGGGAGAATCAGGTGGTGAGAACTGCGCCGAGGGGCCATCAGAGTCAGCCGACTCCTCGAGTGGGACAAGCGACAGGTGGGGAGTGACGTGAGACACACCAGACGGACCAGGACGGGGAGGGAGGGGAGCAGGGGCAAACGGGGGAGTGGGATTTAGAAACAGGGGTGGAGAATCTGGGAAACCTCGGTGAGGAAAGCGGTGGTAGAAGGAGACAAAAGAGGTGAGACGGCGGGTGGTAAAAGTGTCAGTCAGACTAGTCAAGGGGGAAACCGAGGAAGACACAGGGGACAATGCGGGCAGTGAGCTTGTTCGTGCCAGAGGCACGAACGTGAGCAAGGAAGCCCATGACGTGGAACGCAAACGCGTCACCAGGGAACCTGGTCCAAAGAAGGGTCAGTGAAATCTGCGGCCGCTGGGAGTGTGGCAACAGGTTAAGCTGGTGAGCGACATAGCAAACGACGAACGGCCACAGAAAATGGGGTGCACCGGAATGGATCATGGAGGTACGAGCCACCTCTATGACCCCATTCTGCTGCGGGAAGTTCGGTAGGGTTTACGACTTGGTGATGCCCTCCGCATGACAGAACTGTCCAAGCCGACCAGAGGCGAACTCGCCGCCACGGTCGGAGTGGAGACACAACAAGGGAGACCGCGGTGGAGGCGCGCACCTACGACCCACGGGATAAGAACGTCAGGCACATCGGCCTTCCTCTACAGGGGAAACACTGTGGTGTAGCACGTGTAGTCGTCGACGAGCACAAGAAATTAGTGCTCACGATGTGGCCCAGGGACGAGGGCCAGGTCCCAGACGTCCACGTGCAGGGTCTGGAGTGGCGCGATGGTAGGGCGAAGCGAGGAGGAGTGAGGAGCATGGCGCAGCCGGCTCTCGACGCTGGGATTGCACGGCGGTGTAAGCGAGGTAGGGAGGGCTCCGAGCGAGTCATAGAGACCTAGGACAACACTGTGGAAAGACATATGATGCAGACGTGGGAGTGCGGGGTGACCTAGGCGGCACTGCCTCAGAAGCGACAGGTGAGTGAGCGACTAATACAAGCAAGCCGCAACGACCTGAGTAGACGCAGGACCCAAGGAGGTCGTGCCCCTCCGAGGGGAAAGCAGTGTCCAGCGTAAACAGGCCAGACACCAACTAGTTCCCTGGAGAACGAAGGGATGTGCAAGCCTATAAGAGAACCCGAGGGAACCGCTGGAGAGAGAAGGTTAGTCTAGCTACAGGCAATGAAAGGACCAGAGGAGGGGTCAGCAAGTGCGACATCGGCAGGTGCTCCAAGTGCCATGAGTGTGGCATGGTCGCGGAAGGAGCAAGCAGACGCACCAGGGTCAAGCGTAAAGGACAGCGAAGAAGAAGCTGCGGCCGGAGTAGGAGTGAGCGTGGAGCCTAGGCTAGACAAGGCAGAAGGTCCTACTCTTGACGCAGCAGGGAAGTCTGTACTACACACAGCTACTACACCCAAACTAGATAACAGAGAGTAATAAGATCCGAGCACACTAGAAGCATCGGCATACAGAGAATGCAGGGCAGAACAAATCTGATCCATGTCTAACTCAAAGACAGGCACACCGTGGCGCAACAGATTGGACCACTCAGGGAGGTCTAGGGCCGGGCCGAAGCGGCGACGAAAGAGGTCGTCGAGGCGGCGGAAGCAGCGGGCGGTCGGGTGCGGGCGACGACACACAGTGCCGCGGAGGGGGCTGGTCTGGAGCTGGTATTGGAAGATCACAGCACCGAGGCTGCCGGCTGACGCCGAGCTGCAAGGGCCGCAACCGCGGCCACCACCGCCAGAGGCTCCTAGCCTCCCCGGCGGGAGGCGGGCCCATGATTGCTGCTACTGATGTGGCTGCTGCTGCTGCTGCGACGGCTGCTGCTGCGGCGGCTGCGGCTGCTGCTCCTCCTGGGCACCAGCCCCGATCCCCTCGTCGGACCCATTGTCCCCGCCACCAAGCAGCAGCAGCACCACCACCACCACCACCACCACCACCACCACCACCACCACCACCACCACCACCACCACCACCACCACCACCACCACCACCACCACCACCACCACCACCACCACCACCACCCCCACCACCCCCGACACCATGCCCCCCCTTGGGGCCACGATGGCCCCGACGCGGGCGCGGCTGCGGGGACGCCGCAGCGGCGGTCTCAGCGGCAGGGGCAATCGCGGCGACAATGGCTGAAACATCAGCGTACGTGCAATGGGAGGGCGCAGAGCCCTGAAAGATAGGGAATGCCACAGTACCGCTCGACTGAGCGATGGTTCACTGGCGAGTCTCTATCTCAGGGTGGTGACAAAGGCGGTAAGGGTGAGGTCACCTGGGTGCTGACTAAGGAAGTGGTCGCGGGCAGTGGCTAAGCGGTCTGAAAGGCGCATGGCAATGAGGTACAGGGTAGTGCAGAATGGCGGGGGGAAGGCAATGAGTTGGTCATTAGTGCTAGGGGCGCGGTAGCTAGTCTCGAGTGCACGAAGGTGAGTGGCTAGGTCAGCGAAAGTGGGGAAAGTGGCCAGCAAAGGTGGAGGCGGACGTGAAGTAACGTGCAACGACTGCATCTAAGAGATCCGTGGCATTGGCGACAGGAGTGAAGCGCGGACGCTGACACAGAGGAAGAGCATGACTAATGGCTACCTGCGCTATAGCATCGCGGGAATCCCAGACAGCGCGAGCCAGCGCAGCAACAGAAAGGCCTTATGCTGAGCAGGGGTGGGGTCAGCAGGGAGGGGATCAGGCGCGGTGGGGCAGGAAGCAAGCCATCAACATGCATAGCCAGGGAGTGCCCATCATGGCACTTACTTGTGAGGTGACGGTGTAGATCGATAAGCCAGGCGGCAAAGTCGATAGCGTGCCCCTCCGCGTCCAGGCGGAGTACAAAGTCCGGCATTGTGCAACTTCAGCGACATGGCTCCACAGCGACACGGCTCCACAGCGGCACGGCGGCGCAGCGACATAGCGGCATAGCTACACAGCGGTACGGCGATACAGCGGCACTGCTAGATAGCAGCACAGCTACACAGTGGCACAGCGGCGCGGCGGCAGAACTCCCTAGTAGGAAGATCGAGCGGAAGGTCGAGCTGGGCTCACAGGGCCAGCAGAGCGCGACGGGCGGCAGAGCGCGAAGAAGGCCGGAGAGGTGCAATGGGCCAGTGGGGCTCGAAAGGGGTGGTGGGGCGCTAAGGGTAGGCAGGGCGCTAGGGCCAGGCAGGGCGCGGAAGGGACCAGCGGGGCGGAGGGCCAGGCGGGGCGCTAGGGGCCGGCGGGGCTCGAGGGGCAGGCGAGTGCTAAGGGGCCAACGGGCGCGCGAGGGGTCGGCGGGGCGCTAAGTCCCGGCGGGGCGCTAGGGCCAGGCGGGGCGCAGGAGGGACCAGCGGGGCGAGAGGGCCGGGTGGGGCGCGAGGGGCCGGGGGGGCGCGGAGGGGACCAGCGGGGCGCGAGGGGCGCTAAGGGACCAGCGGGCGCGCGAGGGGCCGGCGGGGCGTTAAGGGACCAGCGGGCGCGCTAGGGGTCGACGGGGCGCTGAGGGCCGGCGGGGTGCGAGGGCCAGGCAAACCGCAAAAGGGACCAGCGGGGCGCAAGGACCGGGCGGGGCGCGTAAGGACCAGCGGGGCGCGCTAAGGGAACGGCGAGGCATTAGGCTAGGGTGAGGGCGGAAGCGGGTGGGCAGACCTAACCTACTATGATACCATGTTAGAGTAGCAGAATGACTAGTACAAGGTAGTATAGGGGAGGATATATGGTTGGAGTTGTGCCCTCTATGAACACAAACCTATCTAGCCTATAACTTCTACATATAAATAGATGTATAGGTTGACAGCACGGAAGTGAATACCGAGATTCGAAATCACAGAATCAGGAAGTTGTTGTACAATGAATGGCGAGGCTAGATTTAGGAACACCTGAGCGAATTCTAACCGCGTGAGGCACAGGTTCGGAGAAGGCATCCAAGGAAGCGGAGCACTTTGGATAGACGCGGAAAGGGGAGTCCAATTTCACGTACAAGATCACGTACAAAAAGGGTGCCAACAATATTGCAGACGCCCTTTGCAGACCGTCTGCCCAACTCGCAGCAGTACTAGTCGCGCAGAGCAACCCGCTACTGAGTGGACTATTTACCCACGGGTATTCGACTGACCCCTTCTTCGTAAATGACGGCCATCTCCCAATCACTACACGGAAAGGCGTCTATTACGTACGAAGCGGGACGGATCGAATTTGGGTCCCAAGTTATCGTCTACTTCGCGAATTACTAATTCAAGAAGTCCACGATTCGAATTTATCGGGTCATTTTGGGGTTGATAACACTCTAAAGGCATTGTAGAGGTTTTATTACTGGCCAGATATGGTGACGGACGCGCAGCGTTATGTGGCCGCGTGTCCGATCTGCCAGCGAATGAAGTCATCACACCAGCGACCTACAGGACTGTTGCAGCCCCTCGGGCCACCTCAACGCCCATGGCAACACGTAACGATGGATTTCGTTACGGGTCTACCGACCGGATCCATCGGAAACGACGCCGTATTGGTTGTCGTTGACCGATTGATGAAAATGGCGCATTTCGCACTATGTCGTACAACCTTCACAGCCGAAGAAACCGTGCGACTGTTCATCTCGACCGTTGTTCGCCTACACGGGATACCAGCAGCAATCGTTAGCGATCAAGACCCGAAGTTCACATCGAAATTTTGGCAGGACACGTGGGCTCGGTACGGCACGCGCCTGCAGTTCTCATCCAATTATCATTCTCAAACGGACGGTCAGTCAGAGAGGACAAACCAAACGATGGAGCAGCTAATTCGGACAAATTGCCCCGACCGAAACAAATGGGAGGAAGCGCTTCCCATGTTGGAATTCTCCTACAACAACGCACCCTCAGCCACGGCTAATCACTTCTCGTTTTACCTCAATTGCGGGATGTACCCCACAGGACCTATCTCCACCAATGTCGAGAGTCAAGTACCACGGTCGCAGCAGTTCGTGGAAGAATTACAGACTGCCCGAGACAAAGCTGTCGAACTTATTCGCAAGGCGAACGCTATTGCCCAACAGTATGCGGATTTACATCGACGAGATATACAGTAACAATGGCAGCAGGGCAACAAGTCCTTTTGGACACCAAGAATTTACGACTACCACTATCGACGAAATTACGACCACGATTTTGTGGCCCATTCAAGATCATGAAGATGGTGACGCCGGTGACCGCTCAGTTGCACCTACCCGACAATTGGCGTATTCACAACAAATTCCATGTAAGCCTGTTGCGACCCTTCGTACCTGACACATCGGACATCGCTTGACAGCGACTGGTCCCGGATGTACTTCCACCAGCAGAGACGACCATCGAGCCCTCGAAGATTTTGAGCCATCGGATTCGTATCGACGATCAAGGACGATACGTTGAGTTTCTGATACGATGGACCAGTCGTACCAGTGAGGACGACACGTGGGTGCCCTCGGACCAGATACAGTCACCTTCGATACTTGCGAATGATTTAGCCCGCAAGCATGTGGCCGATATAGATCACCTTCGCTAAGGGGGGGGGGGGGTGGTGTAAGGAATTTTCCATTTATTACCGAGCGGTATTGCTATCGTGTACGCTCGAACACACCCGAAGCCTCGGGACAGTTCCGGACCTTTCTGACAGAACCGCCTCGGCTACTCCACACCCTCTAGTTCGACCTTCGGGAGTTTTCCGGGCCTCGCTTCGTCACTTCGAGACCCTTCGATCTCTTTCCCGAACCTTCACATCTCATGGTTAGACTAGCTCTGGTGTTCCTATATCTTGGCTTGCCATTCCTTGTATCGCCATTCAGTGATTGAACACTTCGTTATTCATTTCCGCACTACTCTGCTTGTTCATTCATAACAATGGGTTTTGGTAATATAATGTTTCCCTTAACGACAATAGGTTTAGCTGACATTATGTTTCCATTAAGGACCATGGGTTCAGGTGCCTTGCACTACATCCGTAAAACATACCGGGTAGTGCAACACCAAAACACCTATGTGCACTCCGATCGCCGTTCTTGCCTGTGTCGAAGACTGGTTATAGGGGGTACGGAATGATGCGCATACACAACCCCGCACTAATAGAGTGCATGACCTAATCTCGCATAGTCCAGATCTAAGGCGATGGTAGTTTGGTGTACTATACGCCATGCCTCTAGAAACATGCGATTTCTCTGGCAATGGATTTCAGAGCTATGTAGGCATGATAGGGCATCAGACTACAAATCGCAGATACCTATTGTGCCCGCAGATATCTGGATGAACAAAATTGACTTGCGTGCCTTGGTAGGCACGTGGGTCGCTATCACTGCCGTGTGCCCGCTATTGTGCCCATTGTTGCTGGCCAAGGATAATGATCTTTCCATCGCGCCGCACAATGCATATATCCCCCCCCCCTCCCCCCGCGGATCGCATTATGCGCATCCGCCGGAGTTTACGAATGACGATGAAATGGAGGACGGCATACCCACTGCTAATCCGCTACCACCTAGCGAAGATGGTGCGTCCTCCTCGTACAAGGGTGTCGACGTCCGCATAGAGCTCATGGTCATCGCCCGTAAGCATATGCTGAGTAATGACGCCATCACGGATGACGTACAGGAGTTTAAGAAACTGCAGGAGTACCATCAGAACTTAGTGCGTGGGAGACTCTTAGAGACGTGGAGGCCTTTGAGAGGGACATTCTGGAGACAGAGTAGGAGTGGGAAACCCTGGAGATCGAATTAGAGGGCGATCTGGGAGTACTAACCTTGCGCTACAAGAACATTTTCCCGGTTCGTAGCCTTCCGCGGTAACCTGTTCTTTCCGCGTTGGCTTGGTGACATACAGTCCTATCTTTATTCAGCGCCCCCGTTCGGCTTACATCCTTTCACGACCAACCCTGGTGGCCGATATTATCCTGTTCCCGCTGGTCTTCTCGAAACATGATCGTCCACTTTCCGCTGGTCCTTTTGTCCCACGCTGGAATGACACTGGTGTGCAGCATGCTTCCGTAGTGTCATGAGCCCAACCCCCGTTGTTCCGCATTCAGGTGTTGTTGCGGATGTGGAAGGCCATGTCTACTGTTGGTGGTTTTGCAACTACACCCCTGACCAATGTGGTTGGTGGGGAGCGCCGGTATAGTACCACAGCAGACATGTCGTGGTTCCGAGACGCATATGTGAGTGTTGACATGGCGTCGTGTATTTCTCGTGTGATTTTACGTCGGTGATACAATTTTTTGGTGAGGCGCGTCCTCGTATTCCTGTACGCTGTCAAAGAGAAGGGCTACGTCGCAGGCATCATCCTATTCAGCGATGTGACTCACCTCACCTACAACGGCCGGCATTTGGCACACCCAGTGATGATGGCCCTGATGAACTCTCCCGAACAGTTCCGGTGGCTTGATGAGGGGACCGAGATGGTAGCCATGCTGCCCTCTCTGCCCTCAGACCTTACGTCAGAGCAGAAAACCGATGTCTTCCAAGCGGTGGAGCGCATCGTTGTTGGGCCACTCATGGCCCAATCTTCTCTTGAAAGGTAGGCTGCACGACGATTGCATGCGCCCTGTCGCTTCATACTATAACGCCTCAACATAGTCACACCTCACCCACTTGCCTGTCCTCCCCCCATTCTCCATTGTACACTGCGTTGGCCTGTTTTGCCCCGTCCTCCCCAGCAACGCGGTGCTGGTGACCGATAACGTGGGGAGGCAGTAGAACGTTTCCCCGCTATTAAACTGCTACATGTGCGATCACTCCGAATCATGTAAGGTCACTTGCACCATGGTTGCAACATCCTTCAACCCTTGCTCGAAGTGCGTTGTTGACAGGTGGGAGCTGAGCGAGACCAGCTACGGCGGGCGTGGTCCACACACTTCGTGAAGTTTGGTATATGAGGGTTTGTTCTCCGGTACAGCAATATGCCTATTTCCTTGTGGAAAACCTCGCTGCTATCCCTCCCATCCATACCCTTGCTGGCCTACCGGGAGCAGTGTGCCCTTTGGAGCTGGGCGTTCGTCGACACTCCTTGGGGGAATCTCTACGATGCTATCGGGATCTGCGTGCTACACGCGGTGGACGAGGGTGTGTGGCTGCACATGATGCGCTGCATCTCCTAGATGCTCACTTCTGAGGAGTTATGGCAGCTTCTTGGGTAAGGCTGAAACACTGCTGGCTAAGCCGAATGGCCCCCATCTGCAACCCGTGGCAGCTTCATGTCCCCCCCCTGTGGTCCCATGCTCGTGCCCAACTGTGTGTTTCTGACCTATGCTACAGCCACTGCCACCGCGTGCTTGCTCACACTCCGCAGTCCATCCTTCAGACGCCGGACCCATGCTACTACTTCAAGACAGTGGCTCATTTCGCCGCACGGGAGCATCGGGCCATGATGTAGCTACTCCCTTTGTTCTGCCACCTGCCGGGGCGGGAGGAGCTGGGACGTGTGGTCGTCATGTTCACAGAGTGGTATGTGGCGTTTTTTCGGGTGGAGTACCATAACGACGCGTCGCTGGTTGAGACTTCTGCGCAGACGGAAAGGTGGGACATGGGGCCATGTGATTATGGGTGTGCGTGCGGCGAGTTCGGAGGGTCAATTGGCGGGTGAGTGTATCGCGCACCCCATGTATGTTCTCCTTTGTATGGGCAATCAGGCGCCATGTGTCCTGTGCCGGTCCCGTGCACATGTGGGTCCCAAACCATCCAGCAGCCCTGGGGTTCGACACTAGGGGGTGCATGTCAATGGTTTTTTCATGTGCAATTTGATGTGCCCCCTCTATCGCGACCTCACGGGTCCACCGTTTGCCCCGTGTGCAGCCTCGTGGCTGCCCTCATCCAAACGTTTCCAAACCAGAGGTCGTTGTGGGAGCTGGTCAAAGTTCACCTGCTTGCCCACCTGGTCGATACCATCAAGGCGCACAGCATGCCCAAGGAGTGCTCCACCAACCAGTACGAGCACATGCACAAGACGGTGGTGAAGCGTCTGTCTCGCAACAGCAACTGGCGCGATGTCGGACGCGTTATTGCGTTCCGCCAGGAGCGGATGGCTACTGTGAATCTCCTTGCGGGAGAGGGGGAGCCGGCAGAGCCGGTGTACAAGACCGCAATGTGGGTGGTGAGTTGGGGGTTGGAGGGGATGTGGGCCGGTACTCGACAGTCTGCCCACTTGTCACACTCCAAGCTGACACTCTTGCAGCAGGCCTCTATGCGGGTCGGTGCGCTGCCCGTGCCCCCGAACTATCCTCCCCCCCCACACCCCACTTGTTTTATCGTCGCTCCCATTCTGTGCTTGAGTGGGGCAATAGGGCCTCCTCACACCTTTTCCGATCCTCAGCCATGCCTCCAATGTTGTCTCCCACCGTTTTCCACCCCAGCCGTCTGCTTCTCGACCATATTTTGCCCGTTCTGCATTATGCTCTGGAGCAGAACGTACGGGTGATGACGCGAACTAGCAGGAGGCTGGTCATTGGTGATCTTCACGACCCCCTGTGGGCAGCATACTGCGAGGCTGTTGGCGCATACGACATGGACCGCATGGCTGTGGAGGTGCGCTGTGCACTGCCCGGTGTTGTCTCCGTACAGGTAAGCATGCAGAGGTGTATCACCGTAGCGTCCCAATGAGTTGATGCCGCTAGGTGCCTACCTCCAAGGCCTTACCTTGAAAAAAACCCCATGCTGTTACCAAGAAACCTTCCGCCTTCCCCCCCCTTCCCCCCTTCCCCCCTTGATTCGACCTTCTTGAGTGTTGCAGGTGCGCACCACTTTAGCCATCCTGCCCCATGACCGCATGGACCGAGGCGACAATGGGCAGGTTGTCAAGGCATCTCTGAAGCAGGGATGGTTCAGCCACATTCGGATCGATGCACAGCGGACAGTGTGGTTTGGCCGTTGCCTGGTGCTGTTCCACTGGGTGAACGAGCGCCAGCAGGTCATTCGTGGGGCGTTCATCCAGTATTTTACGGAGGTTGAGGGAGTGTGCCCCTTGACATGTTGCGAGCGGCTGATTCCAACAAGGGGGGTTCATGCTTATGCGCTGCTGGATGTGGACAGCATCCTATCTCTTGCCCACATCGTCCCCAGCATCACTAAGCCTGGGGTGTTCCTGGTGAACCGCTTTCACTTCTAAACTCTTGGCTCCAAGCTATGCTTTTCAGGCTGTGCCAAATGTACTTATGTCTCTTGTGGGGGAGGGAATGCTGACCCTCCAATATAGATACCCCTATTGAAGTTATCGCCGATACGGATTAAGAAAGAAGTTACTCATTAGGCTAAGGAATCGTGCGAAATCGTTCCTGTAAGTTGGACAGATTCGAAAAACATCGCACCATAGAAAGCGGAATCAGGGTAAATTTTATTCTTAATTTCTCGACATTAAGGATAATTACACTGTTAGCGAGAGGCCTGCTCGGAACTCCTCCGTGCCTGGGCCCTACGTGTGCTACGGAGCTTAGGGTCTCGCCCTATGTTGCCTCCACATACAGCGACGGAACAATCTGTCCCCAAAATGGCAATGTTTAGCAAGTTCATGATGTTTTGACAAGTATAAATGAATCATTTACAATATGGAGCCTGTGGACATTATGCAAAAACAATTGATGCACCTCCAGATATAACAAACTCTAGCCAATATCGAATCGCTAATAACGAGTACAAGCTTTAACGCTCGACGGTCGATGCGGACAAATACTACCCGAGTAAAGACTAGATCTGTTTCCGTCGAGCATTCTTTGCACGAGCTAGCAAAGTTGCTCAGACTTTTGCTAGCGCATGCCCCTTACCCCGTGATCCTCCAGTAACCACGCGCCCGCTTGCTTCGCGTCAGAGATACCAGATCATGAGCCTCTGGCGCCAGTGTCT